AATGTATTATGTTTTAGACGATTCAGTAAGTGCTAGTTAGATTGCCTTTATTAAAAGAATGAGGTCAACCTAAAGAGGCGTCCTTGAAATACAGGCGTCAGTGCCAACAAGAGACAGCAGTGTGTTGATAACAGCAGAACTAGCGCAAGGTTCTTGTGTCAACGGCAGGGGACGTCACTGGCGGCGTTTGGGTCAAGGAGTTATCCTCTCTTTATTTTAAGCCAGAGATCCTTCTTACTTTCTACACAGGCCCATGCACTTTGCTCGACGGTAAGATCTGTCACGTGAGCCCTACAAATCGCTGCGGGGGGGGGGGGAGGGGGCGGCTCATATACTTAACGGGCTCAAAGTTGTAATGTGGCGAAAAAAATCATGGGAAGTATTTTAAATTTCTTTGAATGGCTAAATGGCAAAAATCCAAAGGTTGCAGGCGACCTGAAAAAGTCACGCGAGAGCAACGGCTCTGCCAACGGTGTGTTGGTGTGTGAAGATGCCCAAGTCTTGTCTTTGGTGTTTTCTTTAAGGTGAGGTCACAAATAGGGTTGACCAAAGTGATAAGGGGTATTAGTGTGAAGATAAGAAATCAAAAGAGTGGTTCTCAAAACGGCGCATACAAAAGTTCTAAGCCTAGAGCAAGCCTCCCATGATTTCTAGCATTGCTACTATCACCATGACAGATACACAACAAATATCCGACACGTCAATGGGGTGCAATCAAGCTGAAACAGTTAGTGGAACATGATCCTGAATTAAACTAAACTCATTATTATTGTAGAAGCATTCACAAAAGAGGCCCATTCATTAAAAATAACAGGTCAATACATAGAATAAAGAAATGGATATAGAAATAATGAACACAGCAGTTCACAGATTACAAATGTTATGTTATATGTTTCTCTCAAGCAGTTTCTGCACGTTTGGGGATGGTTTAAAAGATAAGTTTAGCAGTAGTCACGTGACCAAATGTGTGGCTTTTTGTGAATAAAAGAAAACCTTAAATGAATTCAAGGATTTGGAAGTTTTAAAACAATAGTTTTCTCAACTTTTTTTTTTTTAAAACCCAGACTTGAAGCCACTATTTCTCCCACAAATCTAGTAGGCCTACCTAATCTATATTTCATACTCATTTCATGGAGATGTTCTATGCTCAAGCAAAAACTGTTTTAAAAAAATGATAGTAAGAAATGTAGATGCTAAAGAAATGTGATAAATATGTCAACACCAGCTGAAACATCCAACATGGAAACATCAAATATCATTTCCTGATAGGCACAGAGGGAAATTAAAAAATTAAAGCACGATGAACTTTGTTCTTTAATCACCAAAAGATTTTAGTCCATAAAATAAATTCCTAATGACCATTCATTGTTTTAGTAAAGAATTCTCAAGTTTGATCATTCATTATTATATTGTAAACAAATTGGGAGATTTCAGATTTGACCAGTGGCCATGCACATGGTCTCTTTGCTCTGGTCAGTTTTCTTACTTGTGAAGAAATGACAGTTCAGTTGTTTTTTGTAATCTATTCCCTCTAAGACTTCAATTATAGCCATGTTACCCCAAGAGACACAATACACTAAGACTTCAATTATAGCCGGGTTACCCCAAGAGACACAATACACTAAGACTTCAATTATAGCCGTGTTACCCCAAGAGACACAATACACTAAGACTTCAATTATAGCCGTGTTACCCCAAGAGACACAATACAATAAGACTTCAATTATAGCCATGTTACGCCAAGAGACACAATACGCTAAGACTTTAATTATAGCCGTGTTACCCCAAGAGACACAATACACTAAGACTTCAATTATAGCCGTGTTACCCCAAGAGACACAATACACTAAGACTTCAATTATAGCCGTGTTACCCCAAGAGACACAATACACTAAGACTTCAATTATAGCCGTGTTACCCCAAGAGACACAATACACTAAGACTTCAATTATAGCCGTGTTACCCCAAGAGACACAATACACTAAGACTTCAATTATAGCCGTGTTACCCCAAGAGACACAATACACTAAGACTTCAATTATAGCCGTGTTACCCCAAGAGACACAATACACTAATACTTCAATTATAGCCGGGTTACCCCAAGAGACACAATACACTAAGACTTCAATTATAGCCGTGTTACCCCAAGAGACACAATACACTAAGACTTCAACTATAGCTGTGTTACCCCAAGAGACACAATACACTAAAACTTCAATTATAGCCGTGTTACCCCAAGAGACACAATACACTAAGACTTCAATTATAGCCATGTTACCCCAAGAGACACAATACACTAAGACTTCAATTATAGCCATGTTACCCCAAGAGACACACAAAAAGATGGCATTTCAATAGATTAACATCTGAAAAAACACACATAGTTTTCAAAGTTAGATTAAAATATACAAAACTAAATAAGAATCGATCTGACACAACTTTTAAAAAAGTATAGATTAAATAGAATTTCACAATAGATTAGTTTCTATTTAAGTATAGATTGTTTAGAATTGAAAGTAAACTAAGTTTCACAGGATAATTAACACGAGAAGGTGTTTAATGGTGCTGAAGTTAAAATTGTCTATGGTAAATCAACAAACAATGGTATATCCTCATCCTTTCTCTAGGCTCAATTATCATCCATTGACCAGTCATATCCCAAATATCCCCTTGGATACTTCCTACTGTAACCAAAAAGTACTGGCATTCCTATTGACTAGGTAGGAGTGGCTTGCACAGGATGAACAAATCAAATGAACATTTTATTGTTACTTCATGTTGTCTATTGACTGGATCATGAGACACCTTACTGACACCTTCTTCACAATGTTTCAGTGACACCCTCTACGCAATGTTTCAGTGACAACCTCTACACAATGTTTCAGTGACACCTTCTACACAATGTTTCAGTGACACCCTCTAAACAATGTTTCAGCGACACCTTCTACACAATGTTTCAGCGACACCTTCTACACAATGTTTCAGTGACACCCTCTAAACAATGTTTCAGTGACACCCTCTACACAATGTTTCAGTGACACCTTCTATACAATGTTTCAGTGAACCTTCTACACAATGTTTCAGTGACACCTGTTACACAATGTTTCAGTGACACCTTCTACACAATATTTCACTGACACCTTCTACACAATGTTTCAGTGACATTTTCTACACAATGTTTCAGTGACACCTTCTACACAATGTTGCAGTGACACCTTCTATAAACTATTTTAGTAACATCTTCACATTGTTTCAGTAGCATAATGTCTCAACAAACGACTTGTTCATTATACCTGGTACTAGTAACAGAATCAAGAAAGGTGCAACCCTGACCAATGGATCCAGAGCCACCACTGCCTCAGCATAAGGCGAATTAATTAATATTGCAAGAAAACAATTGCTAGGATATTTTTTAACAGAACTATGAAGCATATTAAATGTTGCCCGTTGGAGGGCCTTAGAAACACCTGGACAGTCTCAGAGAACATACAACACCCTCTCTGCAAATTTAAAAACCATGAACTTCATTCAGTCTCAGACAATTTAAATTTTGTTTCAATGACATAGTACACAGGAAGTTATCACTTGTAACACCCACAAAACTAACCAGCTCCTGAACGTGCAGCTACCAGCTTCTGCTCTATACAAGTCTATAGAAGTTCCTCATCAATAAATGACAGCAAATAAGTACTGTGGTGGGCTCTGAGTACAACTACCAGCTACTGATCTATACAAGTCTATAGAAGTTCCTCATCAATAAATGACAGCAAATAAGCACTGTGGTGGGCTCTGCTGTGGTGGGCTCTGCTATGGTGAGCTCTGAGTACAAGGACAAGCAATACATAGTGGACTATAGTGTCTCTTTAAATGAATATAAATTGGACAACAAAATTAACAAGGCACCAAAATACAAGCTCAGTAGTTTTGGTGTGCAAGGTCTGGATGGACCTGACATTGACCAAACAAAGGTCAAGGTTTGGGTGGACCTGACATGACCAGACAAAGGTCAATGTTTGGGTGGACCTGACATTGACCAAACAAATGTCAAGGTTTGGGTGGACCTGACATTGACCAAACAAATGTCAAGGTCTGGGTGGACATGACATTGACCAAATAAATGTCAAGGTCGGGTGGACCTGACATTGACCAAACAAATGTCAAGGTTTGGTTAGACCTGCATTAACCAAACAAATGTCAAGGTTTGGGTGGACCTGACATTGACCAAACAAATGTCAAGGTTTGGGTGGACCTGACATTGACCAAACAAATGTCAAGGTCTGGGTGGACATGACATTGACCAAATAAATGTCAAGGTCGGGTGGACCTGACATTGACCAAACAAATGTCAAGGTTTGGTTAGACCTGCATTAACCAAACAAATGTCAAGGTTTGGGTGGACCTGACATTGACCAAACAAATGTCAAGGTTTGGGTGGACCTGACATTGACCATGTCAAGGTTTGCGTGGACCTGACATTGACCAAACAAATGTCCAGATGGGGGGGGGGGAAGGATTGTTATCTAAACATGAATAGTTGGAATTAGGACACATCTAATTAAAGCAAATCAAAGTCAGACACAGGCCAAGACTGATGTCACTGTCAGATAACAGGCCAAGAGTGGACCAAGGTCAGACACAGGTCAGAGTGGATCAAGGTCAGACAAAGACCAAGAGTGGATCAAGGTCAGACACAGGCCAAGAGTGGATCAATGTCTGACACAGGCCAAGAGTGGACCAGTGTCTGACACAGGCCAAGAGTGGAACAATGTCTGACACAGGCCAAGAGTGGATCAATGTCTGACACAGGCCAAGAGTGGATCAATGTCTGACACAGGCCAAGAGTGGACCAGTGTCTGACACAGGCCAAGAGTGGACCAAGGTCAGACACAGGTCAGAGTGGATCAAGGTCAGACAAAGACCAAGAGTGGATCAAGGTCAGACACAGGCCAGAGTGGATCAAGGTCAGACACAGGCCAAGAGTGGATCAATGTCTGACACAGGCCAAGAGTGGATCAATGTCTGACACAGGCCAAGAGTGGACCAGTGTCTGACACAGGCCAAGAGAGGATCAATGTCTGACACAGGCCAAGAGTGGATCAATGTCTGACACAGGCCAAGAGTGGATCAATGTCTGACACAGGCCAAGAGTGGACCAGTGTCTGACACAGGCCAAGGCCAAGAGTACTGTCAAAAGGAATGAGCACTTATAAAGGAGTTATTCCCCTTAACAGTTATGCAATATTATTTTTCTATTATTCTAAATCTATTCAAGATATTCAATGGAATTTTGTTTTTAATTAATATTTTAATTGAATGATTCAGCAGATTACTTTTAAAGACCAGAAAAGCCCATCTCGTTCACATGAGTTATCTGCTCATGTCAACACAGGGACACAACAAGCTGGAAATAAAAACTAATATTATAGCCTGTTAACAGCCACACCTGCTAATGAGATTACATTGAAATATTCGATAACCAGTAGACGTGCTCATTCATTGGCAGCCACAGCATTGTCTAAATTGATATAGCCTTAAAGGAACTGTATTTGCTAAAAACTGTTTTAAGAAATCATAATTAAATTATTGAAACTATTTCAGCTTTGGTATCTAAAGTCTACACCTTACGATGTAAACAAAAAAAAAGATGAGCACCTGAAAATATTTGGTTTTCGTGTCGAAGGGATTCTTGGGAGAGAAGAGTGGGTGAACAACAAGGGTCTCACCAGAGGTAATGTTCAATAACAGAGGTAGATCTCAAGTTACGACAATCATGGAGATGTAAGCAGTACAATTAACAAGTCAACTATCCAGTACATTGGACACCAAGGAAAGAAAGATAAAATATTTAGGAAATTGAAGATCCGGATTGGAACAAGGTTAAAGCATCCCTATAAAAAAAATTTTTTTAATAAAATTACCATGATCCAGGATGATTAATTATCCATCATAAATTATAGGACATATCAGAGGCCTCTAATATGTCCTATAATTTATGATGGATAATTAATCATCCTGAGGCATGGTACTTTTATTAATGGGACTATCAACAATCTGACCCGCTGGACTCCAATGTGCAGTTCTGCAATATCATCAAGGCAGACTTTACAATGCCGCAAGTGCCTTCACTGAATTTATTCTAAGATGCCGGGTTTTAAAATTAAAAAGGAACATTCATTTTACATTCACATTGAATCGAAATGTTAGAAGTGTTAAAACAGCCAGCAACATCCACATGATCAGGGATTATTAAAAAAAAACTAATATTTTTATTGTGGCGAGATGGTAACATTCTGACACAGGAAAAATTTCAAGGCAGTAAGTAACATACAGTGAACACAAGTTAGACTTAGCTCCCCACTCAAAATAAAGTTTAAACACGCAATCTGCCCAGGTCATTTAAACAAAAAGGCTAAATGAAGAAATGAGCTTGAAAAGATGAAAGGCTTTACTAATGCCATGTTTATAGAACATATTTTACAGGTCCAAATATTTCTTTTGAAGAAAAATATGACAGTATGACATAACTCATGTAAAGAAATGATTTTAAATGAATGAAGGGAACAAAATTAACAGAGCCTAGTCTGAGACAGGCTTGACCTACATTGTAAAGATCCTGTGAAAAGATACAGCCCAGTTTGAGACGGATGTGACCTACATTGGTAAAGAAAGAGTCTGAGAAGAGATTGTAGAAAAACTTTTTCTCTATTGTAGAAAGATGTTATTGTAAAACTAAACACATTTTGGATGATACATCCCACCCTCTTCATCACAGATACTTAGGATCGGCCCGTTCGAGGTGAATTTTTTCCGTCAGGGCGAGGACTGAAAGATAAAAAAATTCTTTTGTTCCCCAATCTGTACGAATTTACCAGTGTGGTCCCCCTGAAATCACAAATCTTAATGCAACTAATAAGTTCCTGATATGGCTAAGAGAACTCTATAAATGGCTTTGTTTTTACTAGTTAAATAATTTATTATAAATTTCTAGTGTTCTAATTGTTTTCTTTATGTGCTGAAAATGTACAATGCAATCAAAAAATATTTCCATTTGTTTGGATCAATAAAAGAATCTTATCAAAATTGTAACTACCGTAATTAAATCCTTTGTACTGGTACTTGCACTCAAATATTTATGTCCGTCATTACTTTTTTATTTTTAAATCTCATTACTCTCATTACTCTATTATTTCTCAACTTTTCTACCCTTGTCAATTATTAAAATAATAATTATTAAGTCTCAGGGAGTCACCATAAATACAAATTATTACATATCATTATTACTAGCTCTCTCTTTTATGTCCAGCAGATTTGTGCAAAACACAAGTACAAAGATAATAGCTTCAGGAGATTTGAGAAAAAAAAATCTCTATTTAATCCAGTCATATTGTGATATTTGGCATACAAGCTAATAAAAGATTTATGACAGTAATTTGGTGGAGATACAAAGATTTGGTAGGCTTTCAATGTAGGCCTATTAGTTCTAGGACATTTATAGAAACTGACCACTAGGCACAATAAAGATTTGCTATGGTTCTTCTATTCTCCACCAACGATATGAGATGAAATTTGAAAAATATGGTACTCTTCATCCATCTCTCATAACTCATATTTGATGTCATTAAAATATATGTGACATTGAACGGTCATCTTAGACTTAAAAATTTTGCAGATTAACAATAAAATCAATATTGCACACAAAGTGTTATAACATTTCAACATAACAAAAACTAGAATTTATTCTTGCAGCTCATTTTGTATCATTTAGAAATTTCTGGAATAACAAAAAATTATAAGCACTTTTTAAGTGAACAAAATAAATATTACTGGTTATTTTATATAGAAATATAAAAAGCACTACAAAGTTCATAAGTATAACAAAATAAAAAGTGTGCTTCACACCAGAGCACCAGATTAAGGAAGATTGAAAATGAAGTAGAATTTTTCATGTAAAAGATTTGTGCTAATATGTGAATAGTTTTTACTGATAATACTGAGCCTGGATGAGCCATATGCACTTTACAACCAAACAAATTCCTATTTAAAGCAAAAGTACCAAACTTGGGACACTAAAAAATTAAACACTGTAGCTTATAGATAAGTATTGATCATTTTGTTCAGGTCAAAATTTTGAATAGACTACTGGAAAAGAGGGGCAATAATCTGTGAGACACAATGCAAACAGAGTAACTCATGCTGATTTATTAACAGAAGCAGTTCCTAACAGTCAGGTAATCAATCTAAGATATTTTTAGCAGCAACTACTTTCCATCTTGCTGCTTCATCTCCTTCATACATTAGTCAAACTTTCAATTATGATTTAGAATTAGATTGTATTATATATAACATTAGATTGAAAAGTGTTAAACATTTCATGGTCAGATCAAGTTGTGTGTTTGGTGATTCAACAATTCAAATGAATCTAAATGACTGCAGAACTGTGGGATATTTTTTTATAAAGTGCTTTAAGGTGAGACAAGTTGTTTTTTAAAAACAATGATCAACATACATCAGTTCAATAAAGCCAGAAACAAACAAATTCAGCTACCTACAAAGAGCTTTAAAAAAACCAAACAAAAAACAAGAATATGGAGATTATAATAATTAATAGGGATTATGAACACAAAATGTAAATGTTCATATTTGGCCTAACTATCAATTAAAACAATGAAACAAAATTGAGACTTGTATAATACAAATATAATACAAAATAATTAATACTATATAGCACACCAAACAATACAAATTTATAAAATAAACATTCAGAAAATTATCTTTTTTTTTTCTTTTCACATTTTTGTATTTCAAGCAAATGCTGGGCCGCTGGTATGAAGTCTGTTATTAAGTAGCACTCCATTAATGAAAAAAAAAAAAACTATCCTTATAATATCTTGTGATATGATGCAAATGTGTCAAAAATGTGTCATTCATTTTTTAGTAACCATGTATTCAGAAAATTATATTTTTTTTTTCTTTTCACATTTTTGTATTTCAAACAAATGCTGGGCCGCTGGTATGAAGTCTGTTATTAAGTAGCACTCCATTAAAGAAAAAAAAAAAAACTATCCTTATAATATCTTGTGATATGATGCAAATGTGTCAAAAATGTGTCATTCATTTTTTAGTAACCATGGGATGAAGGTTGAACTATTTTGTACAGATTTCAGATGACATATCCACAGATGTCAATTTTGCATCTTACCAACACAGACATCTAAACCTGTTGTAGGGTGACCGTGTAATATCCAGGTGGTGGTGGTTGTTGTAGACAGCATCGCAGTGAAGATGTTTTCCTGTGGATTAGCAGACGCCATGCTTCTTGTAGAACTGCGCGATGATCTCCCTTGCTCTTAAATTCGTTTCCTGGAAAAGGCCTGAGGAGAGACAACACCATAAAGGTTGCTTTAAAACTATGAATAGAACAAATTATGTTGATGTTACGTAGTGCCATAAAACCAAATGCTAGCTTGACCTTACTGACATTCTGATAATAAATGAAGGACTGCGTTAAAGCTGTGTGAAGGAAATATTCCGAGGTATGTGGAAGCTTGAATTATAAAGACGGGACATTAAAAGGAGAATGTTTCAGCTAAGCGCCATCCTCGGCAGACAGTAAAAATTAAGAAACAAGAAATGGAACTTACTTCAAAAACTTAAGTATTCGCCATTAATGAGATTCTGATTAAAACATTCCTCCCTCATTTTTGAGGAGTGGGACAAAACTTCTAATACCATGTCATCAAACTATTAAACTTTTTAAACAATATCATAGTTCGGGCTGCATTCAAGCCGTGGGAGCAAAAATTTATAATGAGAAAGGCTGAAGATAGAATAGCAAGACAATACAATGGAAGTTTCTGCTGATAGCCTCCCCCCCCCCCTTCCCAATTCACCACAAAACAAGACCATAAAACATCCATTTAACTGCCCTGATCATAAAACATCCATTTAACTGCCCTGACCATAAAACATCCATTTAACTGCCCTGACCATAAAACATCCATTTAACTGCCCTGACCATAAAACATCCATTTAACTGCCCTGACCATAAAACATCCATTTAACTGCCCTGACCATAAAAACATCCATTTAACTGCCCTGACCATAAAACATCCATTTAACTGCCCTGACCATAAAACATCCATTTAACTGCCCTGACCATAAAACATCCATTTAACTTAACATTTAACAGATCAATTTCTAAATGTGTTTAAATTTCAACTTTCTTAAATACCCCTCCATCTTTTCTGGAGCAACATATCTAATATTTTGTCATAAAATAGTTAATCAATACAATTTAAACTTAAAGTAAATACAAAATAATTTGTTTTGGTTAATTTATAATAACAAATTTTTAAAAAGTCTCCACTTACCAGGCAATGAGAAGAATCCATGAATTGCACCTTTGATCAGCTTGCTCTCACACACAGAATTGGCAGCTTTCATTTTGGACTTGAACTCTAGATGAGTGAGAACAATTGTTGGCATTAAATCAGACAGCACTTTGGACAAGCCACGGGTTACTTATACCAAAAGTTAAAAGTCAGAGCATTTTCTGGTGTAATTTAGTTGAGAAAAGTCATGTGATACAGCAGTGTTACAGCAGTGATACAGCAGTGTTATAGCAGTGTTACAGAACTTGAACTGATGTACATAACTTTTATTTGACTGATTCATCTCTTATACTGAATTATGTATTAATAATGTTTTGAGATTCCACTCAGTAAATACTTTTGATGAGGGTGTTGGAAACTGTCTCACTAATCAATTTGTCTTTATGGTTAGTTCTAAAATTTTATTTTCATATAATATGTTTGCAAATACATCTAGGCCACTAGGATGAGAATTACAATCCAGATGAAAGAATTTTTGTAAGGTTTTATCTACGTTGTAGACATATCATAGTTTGAAATTTTGTAAAGGTTTATCTGTGTTGTCGATATAATATATTTTGAATATTTGTAATAGTTTAGCTCTGTTTTAGACATACCTGGTGCCATAATTGGAATCTTTGTAATGTTTTATCTATTCTATAGACAATTCACAGTTTTAATCTTTGTAAGGGTCTATCTATGTTGTAGACATATGGTATTTCGAGTCTTCATAAAGGTTTATTTGTGTTGTAGACATACCATAGTTTGAATCTTTGTAAGGGTCTATCTCTGCAATTAGTAAGAGAGTAGGGGGAAGAACGGTGAAATCCTTCCTCAGTAGTGGCGAGGCCCTCACACTGGTCTTGTCCGCTTCTGTCTTGATGCACATCTCAACTCCTCTGAACACAAAAATGATGTTTAAAACATCCCTCAATCAATAAACAATCAACAAGAAACATCTTAGTAATAGACAAGAAATAATCATATGTCTTTTTTTATCTCCCCTACAAATAATTTATTACATTCAGCTTTGAGTGTGAATGTGACTTTTTATAGAGAGGTTTTTGATGTCTCTTTCCATCAACTGTATGTACTAAAATAATACTTTATTTTATGTGGTATATTTTCTTTTATTATTTTGATATAGCTTAATCTCTTTTGCAATCAAGACAATCACTTTCTATCAGCACTGATACATTATTTTCATACACCAGAATTGAGCTCATCCAAACTCAAGTGGTGACCAATAATGTGAAAGAATCCTCTGAGGTACTTGTCACCAGGAGCCCGTGCCGTCTTTGGTATGAACTTACTTTCTGATCATCTCAGACATGTTAATGCTGCTGCCTGGAAACTCAAACTCATCATAGCTGGGACCCTGACATCTCCAGTCCAAGAATGGGTAGACCAACACCTGGGAATAACAACATGATCACTGCCAACAATTTCTGAATCAAGCAAACTTTTGCAGACCTGTTAACCCTCAAACTCATAAACTTGTACAATATCATCACAAAATCGTACAATACAATATTTAATAAATAAAAAAACATACAGTAAATATAATGTATACAATAACTACTTGCATTGCGTGTTTAATGGGATTGAATTGAGCTGGCGTCAAAAAAAGGTAATTGAAGGAAGAAAGTAGAAGAGTGATATTTATATTGCAATCTCTGGTCACTTTGTTTTGCATAGATGTATCTGGTCTAGATAGCAATTAATATTTAGGTAAATGTGCAGATCAGATCATCACAGTCTGTTACTGGTGAAAATAAAGTTACTGGTGAAATTTAATGTGGTTCTAACTCGAAGTCAGATCAAAAGCTGTAAATTGGTGAAGGGAAGAAGTGGTTTTTAAAATTGTACAGATGGTTTGCACATTCTAAAAATAGATTTCATAGGCCTCAGAGGGCCCATAAAAATCTAATATTGCTGCGTGGAACAGTTGAGAATACCGGTACATTCTCTAGTTTCCTCTGTGTTCTCGTCAAAAGAAATAATTATGTAATAAAATCATGTCATACAGCACCGAAGCAAACAAATGCTAGAAGGGGGCCATCTATATAGTACGTATGCAAAAAAGTCAAACTTTCTCCTCCCGCCCCCGTTGCACACATACTTTTTTGACCCATGTACAATGAGATTTTACCCCCCCCCCCCCACCCCAAAAAAAAAAAACCAACCAACAAAATCCAATAATCTTTTTCTATAATTTTAATGTTACAGTAAACAAAAATGCAACACAGGTTTTCAATGATGGCTGCTCGGTGCGCCCAATGGTTCCCTATGTTATATTTATTTTTACCCAACCTTTTATTTTATTTGTTTAAGTATTCGCTATTTCCAAGTAAACTTAACACACAATTTAATACAGGGAGCCTGGTCAAAACACGAATTTGGCATAGGTGCCGGCAAACGAAAATTTTAGAACCACTGGCATAGCCCAAAAAAATATACGTCATGCGCATGTTGGACATAAGTGGACTAAATATTACTTTAATATCTCTACTACTTAGTGCTATTTGATTGATATCAAGCAAGTTCATTTGTGAAAATACATGGCAATATTATGACGATAATTTCTACAAAACATTGCATGATATTTTTACAGCATTTGAGATATAAATATGCTATTTTTGGACTTTTAGGATGAATATTGTAGAATTTTTTAATACCATTCGTACTTTCTACCGAGGACCCCCCCCATCCCACCTAACATCACGAAAATGTGGATGTGTTAATTTTATAGACTTAAATATTTGGGACCTCCCACCCCCTTTTTTGACACAAAATCTACCAAATAAACACCACTCCATTCTCAGGGCAAACGTAATATAATAGATAGTCCCCAACCAATCCTATTTCTCGATCCATTCACTGCTGGATGTAGAATTCAAATGCAAGTTGAAGCTAACAACCGAAAATGTCACATTAATTTATTAATTTTTTTATCGGAAAAAACTACAAGAATGTATATATATATTCAACCCAGTCTCTTAAAAATGTAGTTCTGAGCAATTGTAAAAGACATCTCAAAATTGTACATTGTACCCCAAAATTGTTAGAGTAAACAGGTCTACGTTTCTGAGTAGCGGCAGAACAAAAAGTCTACACCTACATTTTTCATTGCTGTAAAGTTTCATTCACGATAACCAGGCTCTATGTTGCTGCTATCTTCTCATTTTAGTATTATTATTTTTTTAAATCCACTATTTTTACTTTGAATTGTTTAAGTCAGTATTTATTAATATGTCACAGGAATCAGTATGTCATTAATAAAATTGTAATTTTTCTTTGGATAAGTAATTAATTAATTAATACATAAAAATGTTGGAGATTTATGAAGGGTGGGGATCTTGGGTGTGGTCCCTCACTTCTTTTCCCAGGACTTGACCCCCCAATTTCAGTTTAAAACAGTTTCTACATTGCACTCATATTTGCATATTGCTAATCAGTTGAGCAAAAGCTGCCAGTTCAGCATCACATACTTCCAACCAACCAACCATCTAAGGATAGAACAGTGACTTACCTGATAGTCCAGTCCTGGGACTTCAAATGCAATCGTCGCAGCAATGCCTCCACCTGAACTGGATCCAATCACGCCTACTTTACTGTCATTCTCTCCACCTGATTGGAACAGAAACATTTACTGGGGTACAAAACAAAAACCCTAGGTGAAATGTCCATCTGAATTTTACTTTATGACTTATGTATGCTAAATGAGGAAGCAGCTGGTTTAATATTGAGGCAGAGTTTCATTTTCAAAAGAGTTTGCAAAGCTGATTTAAAAAATGAAATAAATTTTCAGCAATTTTAACAGGCTCATACAATTTTAACTATTACTTCCAACAGTTTTTATTGTTTAATTGTTTGTTTAAACTCTCCAGTTTGAAATATCATCTAGATGATGTCCATGAATGAGCCTGTTCATTGGGTCTGACCTACCGACTAGAGATTTATTCATTAGTACCCATCGGACAACGGCCTTTCCATCATCAAACATGGCAGGAAACTTGTGCTCGGGGGCAAGGCGGTATTCAACATTCACAACCACACATTTGAGTTCCCTATGAAGATTTGTAAACAATTGCAAAAATTTTCAGTTCTTAATAGTTTAGATAATATACTAAATTTTATGTAATTTATTTTCTTTGCTTGCAAGAGTTCTAGATCAAAATATCTGTATATTCCGATATGTAAGACAGAGTTTTAGTTGTATGTTTCTCCACATAAATGTGCACTTTGAAAAATATCTGTATATTCCGATATGTTTTAGTCGTATGTTTCTCCACATAAATGTGCACTTTGATAAATACCTGGCAAGAAGCTTGCAGAGAGCCTCAGTTGTTTTCCTTGAACCATAAATGTTGCCTCCTCCGTGGAAGTTGACCAAAATGCCTGGCCGTCTTGCACAGTTGTTTGGTTTGATGACATCAATAGGAATACCATCTGAACAAAATTAAGGGTCTAATGCAATCTCATAGTCATGGAGTTTCCTTTTGAATGCTGACTATTAAAGTAGCTGTAGCCCGAGGTTTGCTAAAACAGTTGAGAGGAATGTGCAAGGATATAAGAGTGTGCCTCATTTTAATAAGGATGAAACTGATGTCCTTGCCACATCAATGGGATTAAGACCCTTTGCCACATTAATTTCACTAAGACCTTCTGCCACATCAATGGGACTAAGACCTTCTGCCATATCAATGGGCCTAAGACCTTCTGCCATATCAATGGGATTAAGACCTTTTGCCACATTAATTTCACTAAGACCTTCTGTCACATCAATGGGACTAAGACCCTTTGCCACATTAATTTCACTAAGACCTTCTGCCAAATCAATGGTACTAAGACCTTCTGCCATATCAATGGGCCTAAGACCTTCTGCAATATCAATGGGCCTAAGACCTTCTGCCACATCAATGGGACTAAGACCTTCTGCCAAATCAATGGGACTAAGACCTTCTGCCATATCAATGGGCCTAAGACCTTCTGCCACATCAATGGGCCTAAGACCTTCTGCCACATCAATGGGACTAAGACCTTCTGCCACATCAATGGGACTTAGACCTTCTGCCACATCAATGGGACTAAGACCTTCTGCCATATCAATGGGCCTAAGACCTTCTGCCATATCAATGGGACTAAGACTTTCTGCCACATCAATGGGACTAAGACCTTCTGCCAAATCAATGGTACTAAGACCTTCTGCCATATCAATGGGCCTAAGACCTTCTGCCACATCAATGGTACTAAGACCTTCTGCCACATCAATGGTACTAAGACCTTCTGCCACATCAATGCGACTAAGACCTTCTGCCACATCAATGGGACTAAGACTTTCTGCCACATCAATGGGACTAAGACCTTCTGCCACATCAATGGGAATAAGACCTTCTGCCACATCAATGGGACTAAGACCTTCTGCCACATCATTGCGACTAAGACCTTCTGTCACATTAATTTCACTAAGACCTTCTGCCACATCAATGGGACTAAGACCCTTTGCCACATTAATTTCACTAAGACCTTCTGCCACATCAATGGGATTAAGACCCTTTGCCACATTAATTTCACTAAGACCTTCTGCCACATCAATGGGATTAAGACCCTTTGCCACATTAATTTCACTAAGACCTTCTGCCACATCAATGGGACTAAGACCCTTTGCCACATTAATTTCACTAAGACCTTCTGCCACATCAATGGGATTAAGATCCTTTGCCACATTAATTTCACTAAGACCTTCTGCCACATCAATGGGATTAAGACCCTTTGCCCCATTAATTTCACTTAGACCTTGAGCCACATCAATGTGACTAAGACTTTCTGCCACATCAATGGGTCTAAGACCTTCTGCCACATCAATGGGACTAAGACTTCCTGCCAAATCAATGGGACTAAGACCTTCTGCCACATCAATGGTACTATGACCTTCTGCCACATCAATGGGACTAAGACCTTCTGCCACATCAATGCAACTAAGCCCTTCTGCCACATCAATGGTACTAAGACCTTCTGCCACATCAATGGGACTAAGACCTTCTGCCACATCAATGGGACTAAGACCTTCTGCCACATCAATGGGACTAAGACCTTCTGCCACATCAATGGGACTAAGACCCTCTGCCACATCAATGGGACTAAGACCTTCTGCCAAATCAATGGGACTAAGACCTTCTGCCACATCAATGGGAGTAAGACCCTCTGCCACATCAATGGGACTAAGACTTTCTGCCACATCAATGGGACTAAGACTTTCTGCCACATCAATGCGACTAAGACTTTCTGCCACATCAATGGGACTAAGACTTTCTGCCACATCAATGGGACTAAGACCTTCTGCCACATCAATGGGACTAAGACTTTCTGCCACATCAATGCGACTAAGACTTTCTGCCACATCAATGGGACTAAGACCTTCTGCCACATCAATGGGACTTAGACCTTCTGCCACATCAATGGTACTATGACCTTCTGCCACATCAATGGGACTAAGACCTTCTGCCACATCAATGGGACTAAGACCCTCTGCCACATCAATGGGACTAAGACCTTCTGCCACATCAATGGGACTAAGACCTTCTGCCACATCAATGGTACTAAGACCTTCTGGCACAACAATGGGACTAAGACTTTCTGCCACATCAATGCGACTAAGACTTTCTGCCACATCAATGGTACTAAGACTTTCTGCCACATCAATGGTACTAAGACCTTCTGCCACATCAATGGGACTAAGCCCTTCTGTCACAGTTAAAAAAAAGTAGCATACAAAGGAGGAGACTTTGGAAAACTATCAGTTGATCATGGCTGGTGTTCATGTTTTAAAGATGTGTTTAAGCACAAATATCAAGCTGTCAATATCACCATAGAGAAAACATTATTTTACAAAATCTAACATATCTTTTTATAACAGAAAACAATATATATTTTATAGACAAGACATCTATCACAAATACAAGCTCAAAAAAACACACAAAAACTAGGTAATTATCAAATTTGATCAAATAAAAAACTTACTTGGCACACCAGCAGAAGGCACAGCAAACTCTTTAACCTGACCATCAAAATCTGCAGCAATTTTGTCATTGAGTTCTCTATGAGTCTCTGAAAATTCCTCTTTCTTGGCTGGATCAACACCATCCACTCCTCCGTTTGCTAGCTGATCTAATCTCATTTTTAGAAAAGTTTCTGTTTCTGATGACAGCTGTGAGAATAAACATATTTTTAAAATAATATTTCTTTAACAGAAATGTATCACAACTATTTAATCTATGTTGACCATACATATATATATATATATATTATATATATATATATATATATATATATATATATATGAAAAACTGATTCAAATGAAATAAATATCACAACATATGACACGATTTCATCTTAAAAGTTATATATCAGATTAAACACGATTAATGACAACTCATTCTTAGAATAAACATATTTTTAAAATAATATTTCTTTAACAGAAAAATATCACAACTATTTAATCTATGTTGACAATACATATATATATATATATATTATATATATATATATATATATATATATATATATATGAAAAACTGATTCAAATGAAATTAATATCACAACATATGACACGATTTCAGCTTAAAAGTTATATATCAGATTGAACACGATTAATGACAACTCATTCTGGAATCTTCAGCTGAAATCAGTGATGTCAACTTTTGCTTGGTTACATCCTTTGATTGAACTATTAGATTTTATAAAACCATTTTTGACCAAATAACTTATGTATGTCAGTGACATCATAATAGTTAATGCTACTTTATCTTTATTTAGCCATACATTATATTAAAACCGCAGTCATAACCATACATAATTTAACACTATACCTTATACTTAGTCTTTAACTTTTCAATAATGTCCATTTCTGCACCTGCAAAAAAAAAAAAGTTGAGTTGCCAGCATAATTTAACATGATTTTGAGATATTTTTTAAAAGAAATACTAACTAAAAATATATTAATGTCATAGCAAAAATGAAACAGAAAAAAGTTAGCCAAAAACAGCTATTAAATAAAGTAATGTACTACAATTACACCCCACATGATACACAAATATTTTGCAATTTAAAAATTAATACAACTGGTCACTGTTGTTAACTCGGTCTAATTTATTTGCCATGTTTCGACCATTTTTAATCATCCAACAACTCATTTATTGAAATTTGAAAATAATTTATTTAGATAACCTGCTTTAACTGGTTTACATTAGTTAAACTTATTTCTTGGTAATCCAGAAGAAAAAATAAAAATTTGTAGGAGCCTATTTCTAGATAAAGTCTAGTTACTAAAAATTTTATCCTGACAAGTGAAAATGCTATTTTGCTGAATGCGCTCTCCAGAATTTATTACAATGTCGGTCTGTCCCAACTATCTTCCGTGAACGCTCAACCTCTTGACTGAATGCCCCTAAATGACTAGGTTGTAATGTTACGCAGTGTATGAGGGTTCATGACTTAATTCCAGCATACATGCCAACCTGTGAGATAAAAAAACTGTACAAAAAGTTCAAAAAAACTCTACAACAGCATGAAAAGCTGCACAGAAAAAATGAAACGTCAAAAAAAGTATTATGTATAACTTGTAATCATTTTATCACTATGTTTTGAATGCATGAATAAAAAGTGAATAATCTCCCCTTCTCTGTGTGCACATTTTAGCATGTTAACATCATTCATAAATGGCTAGAATCTTTTAAATGTAAATAGCTTGTTTTAAATCACATTTTTGTCAAATTTTGAGTTTTTACACTAATAAATAGCAATTTTATTCAAATGGGCTCAGCTGATGAATTTGACAGCAAATTACATGTAATAAGACAATTCTTCAGGTAATTGTGCTAGCTCAAGTAATACAGTCTTCTGTATTTAAATTAACGAAGTACAAAATTTCTACCATCTTGACACAGTTAAAGAGTTTAACATCAACTTATAACCTTATTTTTTCATGGGTCGAGGATAGAATTTGTTTTTCTCTGTATGAGCTATGAGTATGGGGATATTAAGTGTATGAGCTATGAGTATGGGGATATTAAGTGTATGAGCTATGAGTATGGGGATATAAAGTGTATGAGCTATGAGTATGGGGATATAAAGTGTATGAGCTATGAGTATGGGGATATTAAGTGTATGAGCTATGAGTATGGGGATATAAAGTGTATGAGCTATAAGTATGGGGATATAAAGTGTTAATTGGAAGTTTACAGCTGAAGTAAAATAATAAACACAAAAAGAATAAAATATAGCCAACAATTCTCACTGATTTCAACTTTTAATTTTTCTAGAGCTGCGCAGAATTAGCCATTTCAGACCTTTCTTAACATTAGATGCATCAAAGATGCTGATGTCTGCATTCATGCTATCACGCATGGACTATGGCAATGCTCTTATGGTGGGTCTCCCAGCTACACTCCTGGATAAAATTTTTAAAAGCACAGAATAATGCGGCTCGCATTGTTCTTCGAAAACGCAAATTCGACCATGCTAAAACACTTCTGAGAGAGTTGCATTTGCTGCAGGTCCGCACTCGCATAGAGTATAAAATTGCAACTCTGTGCTACCACTGCTTGCATGACCTGGCACCGTCCTATCTCAAAGCGCTACTTACGCCTTATGCACCCACTAGACAACTCCGCTCATCTGAAGTGGCAAACTCTCAATACTACGTGTTCGCCTTGAGACTTATGAGGGGCCCACTTTCGCATTTGCTGGCCCAACAATTTGGAACACTCTTCCTATCCCTATCAGAAACAGCCAGACACTGGAGTCTTTCAAAACTGATTTGAAGATTTATCTTTTTCGCAAACAACTGCTGGGGTGATGTTGTCTATCTAGCTATTATCTTTTAGATGTATATTGGCCTGCGTTGTTTATGGTTGCAAGGTATGAAAGACTTAGAATGGTTATTCTTGTATGTAGTTTTGTAATGTTGAATTTTTTACTTCAATGTGGTATGTACCGCGCTTCAAGCCTTTGGGGATGAAGCGTGATTTTTAAATAATCTTTATTATTATTATTATTAAATAATGTATACTTATTTTATACAATGAAAACCACACCTGCTTTTAGTTTAAGAATAAAAGGTAAAAACGAAGTCATGCCATTGTAATAAACAGGAATAATGACTAATGCTTTATAGTAATATTAAATATATTTAATTATTTAATAGATATTAAAAGAACACTCACTAACACTGCAGTTCTTACTAAGAATTACATAAACAGATTTGTAATTATAGTTTACTACTGGTACTCAAAGTAGTTACAACCATACTATGCTGTCTTAGTATTAACAAATGATAACATTGAAACCGCAAAGTTTCTAAATTTAGATGGCCTACCGATCCTTAATAGTTTCATTTTGAAAGAACAAAAAGGATGTAAGTTTCTTGTTGTCCAACATTGAAGTTATCATACTGTGAGCTTCGAACATGTTTTGGGCAAAAATATTTTTTTTTATTTATCAAGTGAAAAACTGAACAATAGCCTGTATGGTTGTACAACTTGGCAAACGTACCCAGTATACAAACCATATAAAATACAAAGTATGGGTAAACCATACGGGTTGGCCTGTATGCTCTAGTCTAAAGCCGGGTACTAAAGTAGTAAGACTAATTAAGTTACTTTTAATCTTAATTCTAGGATAGAAGCAGAAGGAATAGTTCGGCCTATGCTTATACTTTAGTTATAGTTGTTAGCAGGCCTAATAAAACTTAGTACTTACGCGACTTAGTAACTAAGCCTAACAAAGGTAAACTGTAAAAGTAAATGTCAAGTAGGTTCCCTGTCCCTCCATAAATAAGCGACACACACTGACATTCTAACTAAACTTACAATCACAATATAACAATTTAGTTTTTATAACACTCTCTAACTAATTTTTCACAAATATTTAAACTTAATAAATAGGCTCATCTAAGTTTTTTTATATTTTGGACTAGTCATAATTTACACTTGTAGGCCTACTCAGCACTGTTGAGTGCAGTTAATAGTATTAATAGTAATAGTGCAGTTAAACGTTACACAGTGTCAATGAAAAATATGTTTAAGTCTATCTCTATACAACAGTACTATGCTACTATACAAGTCTATACTATACTTCTATACTATAATAAGTTATAGGCTACATAATACAGTAAACTTTATACTATTCACTGTTACTATGCAGTAACATCCTTATCCTAAATTATAAAGATTTTTATAAAATATACGAGCACAAGAACAAGTCTCAACATAGCTAGCAGTCACGCAGTGAAGTGTCTGGGCCTCATTCAGTGACTTGATTAGTGGAATGACTCAGTGACAGTGTAGGCCCTATGCCTATAATTATCTATAATATATTATTGCGTGGACTGAAACTGAAGACTGAAGATGAATTGATATCATATTGATATCGTCAATATCGTCTAGCTAGGCTCTGGGCCCTCTCTGTCATTTCATTTTCCAGATTATGATTAGAACATTACATCAGACAATTGTATTAGCCTTACCCAGGGAAAAAATATCACCCTAAGGATACTCAATTTAGGGGAACTAATATGGTATGATTTTGCTTTTCGATCGATAACCAATCTTTCTTGTCCCAGGGAGACAATATATCGTCTCTCTTCCTTATTCTTTATCAGCGTACTTGCTAAACGAAAGAGGACATAAATATATCAGAAAGAGCAGTAGAAAATTGTTTACTTAAAATTTGGATTAAAATATAATTTTTCATTGGCGGAACTATTATCATTTGGGCCAATTAATGTATCAATGGATTGAAATGCATCGTATGTAGATCTAATTATTAAAACAAAATAAATACCTTTTAAATATTATGTTTTCAGTGAATGAGAAATGAAGTTCAGATACACATAAAAACGTTTTCTCTTTTTTTTGGGGTCATTAAATTATTATAAAATAATGCGTCATTAACCCGGACAAGGGCCGTGCGAAGGGTGGGAGAAGGGGGCACTCGCCCCGGGCAGTAACATCAAAAGGGTGGGGGCTTTATATCGTTATTAGATATGACATTTATAGTGAATTAAACAATAAAATATCATGTACAGTGTTTCTTTCAGTTAATTTCCACCAGGGGAGAGGGCTGGGATTTTAGATTTTCGGGTGGGCAGTGGTAGTGGCCTGAGGCGTAGCTAAGGAGGCAGAGGGGGCAGTTGTCCCCGGTTGTCAGAAGGGGGCACCAAAATGGGCTTTATGGTATTTAACTGAATTAAAATAATGGGTTTCAGAGTTCAACAGGCGGGGGGGGGGGGGGGGGGAATGAATCTCATCCCCTGGCGCTTAACACTTTAGCTACGTCTCTGCCAGTGGCGTAGAAAAGGGGGGCAGATGTGATGGTCCACCCAGGTGTCACTTTTTCTTTACATGGAGGGGCGGCATTTCAGACAACTGCAGAGTTTTTATCGTGAAAGGGAGCGTGGTAAAAATCTTGGCCCACCCAGGGTGGCATTAACACTAGCTACGGCTACACCACAAGACAGCTTATTTAGGCCCACCCAGGGTGGCATTAACACTAGCTACGGCTACACCACAAGACAGCTTATTTAGGCCCACCCAGGGTAGCATTAACACTAGCTACAGCTACACCACAAGACAGTTTATTTATCGGCACACCAAATGGCAATCAGAGCCAGCTATACTTATATTTATTGGGAAATACGACAGGAAGCTGGGGCGCCGATGGCTCTTTAGCCCAGAAAACGGTTGATTATTTCAAAATAAAGAGTTACATTTTAAAGTATACCCAAATGCAATGCTTCTTTTAGATTATTTGATCGTGGAATTTTTTTTTTAAGCGGAGGCATTATGGTGACCATTGCCATAGATAAAAAAAAAAAAGTGAGTTGTGTATGAGAATTATTTTTAAGATCATGCGTTTTGGTACGGATAAATATTATATAAATTATATATTGTCGGAAAGGGGATTTTATTCTCTATACCTTAGTATGACTACATTTTTAGAGGGTATTTGTAATTCAATTTTCACATTCATCTATGGGGAGTCAGCCCTACCCCTTCTTGGTTAAAATACCCTAAAAATCCTTAAACTTACATACATCTTAAAGTGTATCTTAGATAGCCGAGACATGGCGCGAACAGAACCATGTTCGTCTTTAAGGTTTTGGTTCGGGATTTTGACTTTTATTAGGGTTTGAACCTCCAGGCATTGTCAATTGACCGCAGGAAATCTACCAGAAGTCAAGTACTAGGCCATTCTGTTCGATCTGTGACGTACACACCCTCTCGACTGTTGGGGGGGGGGGGGTTGGGATTTGACTTTCTCCGGGGTGCTCCCCTCCGCCTAGGGATGTCTGAAAGAAACACTGGTCACGTGCTTCTCGAAGACAAGGTGTGGTCAAATAGTCCTGTCTTCCCCCGGTGGAGCTTTTTGTCTCAATATTGGTGGTGGGTGCAACTTTCAAACTTATTTTTATAATTCACAAACATATTGCACAAATATATCGCGTGCTGAAATGGCCTCACTTGTGTCACCCAGCTCTCGAGTATTGAGGGTGGGCCACATAAAACCTGTACACATTTATTATATTTAGCACAACCTTTTGTATTTCAATAATTGTGTAGCGTTGTCAAGGAAACGGCCGACAGCGTCGTCCCCCCCCCCCAAAACCCCCCGTCCACTGGCAGCTTCTACTACACTTTCTACAGGGGAGCCGTGATCGTAGGAGACAGCCAGTGGTATGCCGGAGCCGGTTCTATTTCTATCCGGTTTGGACGAGTCGATTGTTAAATTTTGACTATTCTACCGAACAAATGTCAAATAATAAAGCTACAAACAATATAAAAAATATACAATTGCATTGAAGTTTTTTTTTTAATTTTTCTCTACAACCGACAAGTACCGAACCGATTTTTCCTTGAACGGCAGCATCCCACTGAAGACAGTAATATTCTCTCCCATCACACATCCGCACTATGCTTACCATCCAAGCCTTCAAAACTGCTATCAAGACACATCTCTTCAAACTCTACTATTCTGACTCATGCTCACCCCCTTTGACTGATAAACAATGTTTGATGCTGCTAGGTGCCGTCCATGGCTTGACAGGGGTCAATAGCACTTGGGTGGGTGAGGTCAATCTGTTTACAAAGCTGTTTTTATATGTTCAATTTTATGTAACTGGTTTTTTTTTATGTCTTGTTTCTTTTTTTTTTTTTTTTTTTTTGTTTTTTTTTTTGTGAGGCGGGGGGGGCTTACCCCTAACGTGGG